TACACGCGCAAGAAGAAAAAATCCCCAGATTTGATCTCTCTATCAGGAAATAATGAGTCAGAGTTAATTTGACTTGGAAATCAGGAATCTTGTGATTTTTTTTTCATGCATTACTGCATTAGCACAATCAAGGTGGGGGAGAAAAGCTCTGTGTTTGCATGGGTCACTCATAGATATCTCTGGGCATTGCTGGTCTGGATCTACACCCTTTCTTGTCCTAACAGCAGACACAATACCATCCTCTGGCTGGGCCTGATCCAGTGCCACTGAAACCAGCAGGCTTTGGACCAGGGTACCCCATTCACTTCCAGAGAGCTTGGCAACCTGATTTGTGGTTGGGGTTCCTTCATAACCTAACTGCTACTTCCAGCTGCTTCTCCAGCTTGAAAGCAGTGCAGCCAAAGCTGAACAGTGATGGTTCTAGTGGTCTTGCCTGTTTCTCAACATCTGTCTGCGCCACTCCTCTCAACACAACAGCCTTTCCCCTTCTCCTTTCGAGATTGCTTCAGCATGATGCATTTGCAGGAGCTCCTTACCCCAATACAGCAGCCTGGGTTGATAGGTTTGGTATCTGTTCTGTTTATAGGACAAGGGAACTGAACCTCTAAAGCCCTAGCGGATGTATAGTGTTTTAACCCGCAGGAGCTGGGGGTTTCTAAAGTTCTTTTGGGCTTATTTCTAATTCCACTGAAACCAGTGCGAGTTTCACTGCGGAGTCCAATTGGACCAGAAGGAAACCAACACTGACTGAAACGGAGAAATGCCAGCATATCTCACTTGTCTCCACTGAGGTCAGGTCTGGATGATGTAGTGGTTCAATGGCACTGGAGAACTAATAAAAACATTTCTTCCTGGCTAATTTCTCTAGGGAAAAAATAATGAATTCTTCCATTCTCTCGACACAGTGGAAGCCTTTTTGCATGGGATGTTCATTGCTCCTGGGGCAAAACACTAGGGATTGAGCTGTGGTTCCAGGCAGGAACTGTACTGTTTGCGCTTCAGAGAGCTTTAGCATCTAGAAGAGTGTGAATCTTCCAAAGAGTAAGTGGTCTTCCCTGTGGACTGACTTCTCACTCATCTTTAAACAGAGTACAGGTTTTTTGGTACAGCATGTAGGGTTACTAGATTGTCTGGATAGTCCTTGCTCACCTACAGCATCAGATAAGCAGGGCAGCTGGAAGCCCTCCCTGTGGCATGCCCCACATGCTGAAAGCTGAAATAGGGAGGACCTTTCAAGTACTGCCTCTTGTTGTTTTGGGTGGGTCAACTCTGACAACTTCTACTTGGGGAAGAAAGAAGTCAAGAGTTAACTAACCAGGATTCAGAACTGGCAAGCTTACAAGAGACTTTGCCTGGCAACCCCAGGCACCTTATCTAGTAATGTGCCTGAATGAAAGGTCATTAGCTGGGGAGTCGGTTGAAAGAGTTAATGATGATGGAAACAAAACCAAGTGGGTTTATCAGCAACGCTAACAATGCATAAGATAGGCACAGCTTTCCTTCTTGTTTCCATGTATGTGCATTGTGTATGAGCCACAGAGTTTGCATCCAGCTTCAAATGTTTCTAGAGCTGCAGAGCGCTCAGTTTGGGGCGCCTGAGTCTGCAGAGGGTTGCGACAGTTGGATCTAGATTTGGTCCAGGTTCTTCAGTATCATCAGACTTGTCTGAGTCCATCACCCATTTCAGGAGGCATTACCATAGATCCTATTAACTATATCCTTTAGCACTGGCTGGGAGCTAGAGGGGTTTGTTCCAAAGTTCACGTGAATATCTCATCAAAAGGACATGGCAAAAATAACCTTTTTGCATGCTTCTCCTTTTCTGCGGCCGTGTTTGCTGACTGCCTTGTGTTTCTCAAGACGCATGATGTGTGGACTATTGGTTCATCCAAAAGAACCTGGTAAGACTTATGCTCACTGTTTTCAAGTCACATGCTGCTGCCATCCTAGTGACTCATGGGTATGGGGGCAGGCTGAATTTGGGCACGCACTGCTCTTGAGAAGGAACACCACTCAGGTCAGACCTTTTACAGATCTCTGCCTGCCCATGCTGCTCTGTGCTGCCAGATGGTTTGATTGTGCATCTTCCCAGCAGTGCCAAATGCAATTGGCAGTGTCTTCTTTGCCCAGTGGGCACCTTCTATCCACGTGTCTTGGTAACTAACCCAGAACTCAGCATGAAACTCCCTGGAAATCACCAGCTGGTGAGGCACCTTGATAAGCGTAGCACAACCCAGCTTCACTACAAGTGCGTCCTTCTGTTACCTTCATGGTCACCAACCTGAGCAAGATCTGCTGGAACATTGGGTTGTCCTGACCAACTTTCCATATCACTTCTCCTTCAAACGCGATGGGAATTAAGAACCCAGGAGGCATTCCTAAGGGCTTCCTCTGGGAGTTAAGAACCCAGGTCCTGTTAATTTTCATCAGGACGCTAGTTAAGTACATGTGGGAATAGCCTAAAGACCACCATGCCGTACAATCAAAAGGCTGACTCTTCGGTTAAAATACTGCTTCATGTGACAGCATTGGCCACTACACCCTTTTTTTGCACAATTCACAGAAAAATGTTGGTAATGCAGAGACTGGGGCATTATTTTATGTATAAATACAAGGATTTTAATTCATCAGGGTCTGTGGGAAGGGTAATGCTCACATGTACCATTCAACCCAGCTAGGCCTGCCATGTTTTCCATAGAGGCCCCCTATCTAATTCATTTTATTTATTGCAGCTTTAACCATGGAATGGAAATCTGCTTTTTATTGAATGGAAATCTGCATTGTGTTAAAAATAAAAAAATAAAAATCTGTAAACTGGTTTTAACAAAGACATTTTTACCGTGGTCATGAAAATGCCTCTGAAGAGACCTTACATTTCCATAGTGCTGTTCAGCCTAGGTCTTGAGGCTTTATCATAGCCCCGTTTTACAGGTGAGAAAACTGAGACACAAAGACAGACGAAGTGACGTGCCCAAAGTTGCACAGGAAGTTGGTGGCAGAGGTCTGCTCTGCTTGCCATCTGATAGCACTGCCTTAAGGGACAGCAGGGGCCAGCCCAACTCTGTTATTCCCGCGGTCGAAGACGGCGTAAAACTGGCGAATGAAAACATCGCCTAGGATCCAGAGCGGCCCAGCTGGGGGTTGGATGTCCATGCCCTGGAAGCCGCTGGTACAGAAGGCCATGCCGTCGCTGTACTCCTAGAGGGAAGAGGATTGTAAAGATGAAAACAAGTTTTGCAACAGTCTACTCACCTTTCCTGGAGGAAACAGCTCCTTTACCAAGGCTGCTTAGCCAGGGGACTGAAAGCCCTTTACAAAGGGCAAAGTCACAGACAGAGCAGGGCAGTGGAGAGACTGGAAAGAAAATACAGGCCAGTGCTCCTTCCTGTCAGGCTAGTGCTCTGGCCACTGACAACACTCTCCCCCGAAGGCTGGGGAGTCTTCTGCTTCAGCTGTGCAACTACTCCCACTACTGTTGTGCCTTTCCCCTCTGAGCTGAATCAGTAGTGGGTCCTGTGATCTTCAAAACTGGGACTTATGAGGGGGAGCTCCCTTGTTCCTCCCAGCTTCTAGCCCTCTCAAGTCACCCTCGGCTGTTGCGCTCATAGGAAAAGGTGTTGTCAGGTTGCTGGCAGTCCTGTACCATGAGGGTGTAGGCCTGGGCGCTGAGTGTGTAAGGGATCCCATTGATGGTGAAGGTGACCTCAGGCATTATGTTTAGGTTGTTGCACTCCACAGCATACTGCAAAAAAATAGAGGGAACAAAGGTTGGTTGATGGCAGGCAGCGGAGACCATGCACCAGCTCTCTGGGCTATAAAGGCTGGGAAGCCATGGTTTAGAAAGATGAATGTGTAGAGCAGTGCCTGCCCCAGTGAGCTGAGCTGGGGAGCTTGTGCCTTGACTGGCAGGTGTATGGGACAGAGAGGGGGGAGGGTCATGACTCTCACTGGAGGTGGATGCCAGAGGGCTGCCACCTTGTACAGAAGGAGCCCTCTAACTCCCTGCAGGGAAAAAGGATGCAGCCTGCGTTCATGCTGGGCAAAAAAGGACACTAGTAGATGCAGGACAGGGAGTGATTGCGGCAGGTGGAAGGCTGTCCGTGCACACTGGGCTCCTTCCAGGTCAGGCATGCAACAGCGAGCCCGAGACAGGCTCAGCCAGCACATGGTAGATGCAAGCTAGGACTGACTGCAGCACTGAACTACCAGCAGCCCAGCCCTCTGGGTATGTAACCTGTGGGAAGTCTGCCGTGGGCAGACAGGGATTCCCACAGCTCTGCCCACCCCAGCCACATGCCAGACTCACTTCTCCATCCACAGGTGTAGCACCAATGGCATTTTGTATTTGTTTTATGTCACTGGGAGGCCCTGTGATGAGAGAGGTCCCGGTGTCCACGATAGCCTGGCATCCTTCTGCACAAAATGCAACTGAGCCGGACACCTGGATGCTGGGGAGGGAAACAGAGTGAGCAATGGAGAGTGGGCCTGCAGGGAACGCGCTCCTCTCCCCAGTGACTCCTGCCGATTTGCACGCTGGGTTCTGAGCTCTTCTGGCAGTCTGGTCTGGAGCCTTGCTTAAAACTGCCCCCAGAAGGGGGAAGCTCCATTTTTACCCACTTAAAAATAAGTTTCTCTATCTGGGGGCCTTTATGCTGCCCCCTCCCTGTGGTCTCTGAGTGCCTCTCTCCATGCTCAGAAGCAGGGAAGGATCATTGCCGACACCTTGTAGACAGAGGGAAGTTAGTTAGATGGGCGGACCACAGATCCTGGTCAAAACTGAGAAGTGTAAAGTGCTCCACCTGGGGAGGAAAAATCTGCAACAAACCTACAGGCTTGGTGGTGCTAAGCTAGCTAGCACCATGTCTGAAAGGGGCCTAGGGGTCATAACTGACCATAAAATGAATATGGGCCACCAGTGTGATGCTACAGTTAGCAGAGCAGACAACATGCTGGCAGGCATCAACTGATGCATCTCGAGCAAAACTAAGGAAGTTATTCTTCCACTCTACTTGGCACTGGTGAGGCCACAGCTGGAGGACTGCATCCAGTTCTGGGCACCACACGTCAGGAAGGATGTGGAGAAACTTGAGAGAGCCTAGAGAAGAGCTACGCATATGATTAGAGGCCTGAAGAACAAGCCATGTGAGGGAAGGCTGACGGATGTGGGACTGTTCAGCCTAGAAAAGAGAAGACTTTGGGAAGATTTGGTAGCAGCTTACAAATATATCCGGAGAGAGCATCAGGGATTAGGTGAAGAAGTATTCACCAAAGCGCCCCAGGGGAAAACCGGGAACAAAGGTCATAAACTCCTAGAAGAAGGTTTCAGACTGGACATAAGGAAACATTTCTTCAAGGTTCGTGTGACCAGCCTCGGGAATAGACTCCTGGTGAGGGTGGTGCAGGCACCTACCCTGGAGATCAAAAGGAGACTGGATGCATACCTCACTGGGGTTATTTGACCCTGGCAGTCTTTCCTGCCCAGAGCAGGGGGGCTGGACCTGGTGAGCTCACAAGGTCCCTTCCAGCCCTAAACTTCTGTGTGTGAATCTGTGTGAACGGCAGCACAGGGTTGTCCAAGGTCACCACCAGACTGCGGCAAAGCGGTGATTGCTCTCCCCAGTCTCCTTCCTTTCTGTTCAAGAACCAGAACAGGCAGGTGGTTTGGGGGCATGTTTTTTTTTTTCCAACTGGAAGCCTTCCACCATGGATGAGCAAGGGCAGGGAGCTCCATGCTGCTAAGCATGGAGCCAGCGTGCTAAGCACCGAGTGCATCTCAGTTGCTGCTGTGTTGAAATGGTATGGATCTGTGGTTTCTCCGAGTTGCCCCTCCCGGCCTCGCTGCCAGCTGGCATTGTGGGCACTTCCCCACATGGGCACTTACTTGTCCAGTTGGATCTGCCAGTATCCTTGTTTTGTGACTGGCACCCAGCTCAGAGTCCCACTGAAATGGGAAGGATCAAAGCCGCCGAATAGCAGCTCTCCTCCTGCAGAGGACTCAGGGTTCCTATTGAGGAGAAGAAGTGGATATGTCTGAGATTTCCTTCTTATTGCTTTCCAGGCAGTCTTTTAAAAGACAGTCCCTCCCCCAGGAGCGTACAGTTTTTGGAAATAACTCTCATTTCAGTAGCTGCCTTGCAGGCCTATCCACCTCCCAGTTTCCCTGAGAACAGAGCCAAACGCTATGGGTATGACACACTTGGAGCAGTTATATTCTCACCTGCTCATGTAGACTGAGAATATAGGCATCTCCACCAGGTTTTGTGCCATCATGTTGTCAAACACGGGGGTCACCCCATCCACAGCCAGTGATGGATAGGCCAACCCAAGAATCCCATCAAACTCAGCATCCGCAAAGGCGTTGCCTGGCTCACTGACGCTCTCTGCGAACTGCTGATTGACTACAGTGATGCCTTCAACCTAAAAGGGCCGTGAATAAGAGCTGCTTATTTCTTCAGCAAGCTGAGCAGGTGGCTATTCATGGTATCACAGCACAAAAGAAGCAAGGGAGACAACTTTTCTCCTGGAGGCCTAGTGAGGCTCTGAAGTCATGATGCCATGAAAGAACGGGAAGGGAAGACTGTCAAGCCTCCTGGTAGTGATCTGCAGAGCCACTTCACTGATTCCCCTTGCTAACTAGACCAGGGAGGTCTCATTGGCTCCATGCACAGACACATGGCCCAAAATAGACTTTGCATCAAGAAAGAGTAAGGGAGAAGGACAAGAGCTTCTGCAGGAAGAAATCCTAACCAGACCCTTCTGAGGGAGATGCGCCTCAATGACCACGTCTGATTAGACGTCTGCTTTAGGACTCTCTTATTTTCCTGCAGTGGGCTAACTATAGGACAGCACATGTCCTCACTGGCTGCCCTGGGAGAGAAGGGGTTTAATGCTTTGCAACACTGGGCTCCTGCTTTCCTAGAGGCAGTTGAGCCATCATGGCGCCACAGTGAGAGAGGTGCTCAGGTGCTCACCTACCTCTCCCTCTGTGGTGGGTTATGCCCTGCATCCTCCATGCAGGATTGGAGAGGAAGCCTGAGCAGAACCTCCCAAAGAAAATTCAAAATCCAAAATAAACCCAAGCTCCACTCACGGTTACTTGATCAGACCCGACGATTCCCGTCAAGCTGCCAGTCCCATACTGAATTGAGAAGGGAGTCCCCACTTCGTTGTACGTGCTGGAATTGGAGGGGTGAAACCTGGCAT